TTCTTGCTGAATTATACAGCTGATGAAAGAATTAATGTTTTCATCAGGGAGGTTTGCAGAAATACAGTAATCATTTTAGAGGGTCCAGTACTGCCAGAGTTGAAAGCATCTCCCTTAACTCACTCTATAGTGGAACTGGAAAGCAGTGGAATAACCCCAGTGTTTCTTTTTAAACTAGGGTTGTGCACATCAAAAAATATCTCAGATCTCCTCTGAACATAATTCTGTCATCACTGCTGTCATTAAAGTTGCCCAAGCCTGAAAAAATGTCACTGCTTTAAAAATTACACTAAGCATATTTTTTCAGTTATCTGTGGACATCTCTAAAAAGTTGGACTTGTGTGTGTGTTTAGTGACTCTGGGAAGCTTACAGTATTAAAATGTTCAAACCCACCAAAAATAACCCAGAGTGCCTAAGGATAAATAATTCCACTTACCAATATCAAAATGAAATAAAAGAGTTCTTCTACTCACCTGACTCAAACACCAAGGTAAATAGCCAGGTGTGGATTTTGTTAAAAATGGATATAAAATAGTTGCTAATGAGTATATTTGAGTTGCTAATGCTGTATTTGAATATTATATATTAGTACTAGGATACTTCACATTTGTTGTTTTTCCATTTGTATTTCACTATCTTTGCCTGATTTCATTATTTCTTATATTCTTTTCAAATGTAACAAAGAATTAGTTTTTTTAAATTGGGCTGTTTTAATTAATAACAGTTCACAACCGCAGGCTCCTTGGTGCTCTCTGACAGCACCAAGGATCCAAAGAGAAGTGCTATGCTTCTTGTGTAAAGTGTAAAGCTTTTTTTCTAATGCACAGAGGCTTCTTTTTAAAAACAGGAAGAAAAATTTAAAAAATAAGGAATAGATAGAAGACTCAATAATGCAATAAAATTATTTTAACAGTATTTGTCTTTCATTTTCCTACAGTATATTATAGGAAAGTATACCGAGTATAGTGCATTGTAATCAATACATTTATTGTAAAACTTAATAGAAATTATGAACTGATTACAATAATATAAACGATTAATGTCTGAAATTAAGAGTTGTTATAAATATATTTGATAGTTAATTGTGGCAAGTGCTAAAAATATATTTTCCAAACATATAGTATGTTCAAGGAAAAGGTAATAGGAACTTCTGTTTTCACTTAAAAGCTTATGTTCTCCGACTTTTACTACATCCCAAAGACTTCCAGTAATTATTTTTAATTAGTTTGATCTGTTCTTCATTCATGGATGGAGGGATGTCCATCTATATACTACTAAAACTCTCTGTCATGGTTCCGATAGATGAAACTCTTCAAAAGAACTTCGAGGCTTTGTTTATCTTAAAGAATCTTTTATTCGAGAAACAAAGTATCGGCACTACATAGTCAAAACCAAAAACTAAATTCCCCTCCCCTGGATACAAAGTAACAAAGCACAATTCCCTCCTCCAATAAACAGTCATAAATTACATTCCACAATTAGCTTGAAGTGCGGGCTTTCTCCCCAGCTCTCCAGCCCGCCAAAATTCTATCAACTCTGGGCCCAATGACCTTGGGTTCCCACGGCTGAGTTATTATTGTTATGACTAGCTGGACTCTTATCCACATTCCCCCTCCCAGCATCAACTAACTCTAAAAGCAATAGCGAAAAATGGCTGCATTTCTATCTGTTGTCAAAACAAGAACATCCGATATTAGCAGCGTTGACATCCTCATCATCATGACCTTTAACTGGGTGAAATACTGCACCATATAACAATTTTCAACCAAGGTACCTCAAATGGGCTAACATACAGAATATGTCCAAAATCTGGAACCCATGATTCCTAACGGAATGAAATTTGGCAAAACATTGGCAAGTTGTGGCTGCTTCAGTGCTACTGGCTGCTGGATTCAAATGATCTTTATTTCCAATGTTCTGTGATAATTTCCCAGCCAGTCTTGCAATCCCTTCCTCCCTCCCTGCCTGCTGGGAAGGAGGGTGGTAACTTTCCTGGTTTATGCCACCCTCTCCTCCAATTTCTGCTGTCCCCAAACACACTCTTCCCCAACCCATGCCGCTCCCCCATGAAATTTCCCTGATCTGCACGTTAACTTTCATATACTATCAAGCACTCCAAGGTAGCGCTTCCCTACCTGTACACCCCTGGCATCCTTTCCTATCCAGACCCCTAAAGTATCCTTCCCAACCCAGGTGGCATCTCTCACACAGCCCCACCACATCCATCCTTCTTGATCCCCGATGTTCCTCTCCCCACTATATCTGACGAATATAGCAATTTTTGTGCACATCCAGGAATCCTTCCCAACCCACACAGCACCTCTCATGCACGTCCATGTACAATTCCTAATCTGTATCTCTTACCTGTTTGCTACCTTCTTGCTTGTTCCCCACTTATCATATTTAGGGAATAACAATTTTGGATTCACTAACAGTTTATCTGACATTCAAAACTCTCAACTGATGCTGAATATTTTACCAAAGTGACAAATAATAAGGTTGAATCCGTGTTAAAGTTCAAGCAGATTAACATATTTATTTGTAGAAGAAAACATGATGGGGAATGCTCATTTTTATAGAGAAGAAAATATCAAACAAGTGGAACTAGCAAACATAAATTATTAGGACTAGATCTGGGCTGCACAAATCTAGTTGACCACTAGATGGTAGCAAAGAAATACAGAAACAAGCTTTTGCTGCTATCTAATGGCTATCTGGATTTTCAATGCCCATATGTGACAACTCTACCGTAATAAAAAGCCAGTAGGATTAAGTATTTTGTAATTAGCTTGAAATGGCTCTGATTCCATCCACCTCTGGCTACCGAATTTCACTGCCACTGTAGTAGTAGCAAAATGCAACAGATTTTACACATCTTGTATATTCCTGGATTAAGGGAAAATTTGTTTTAACATCAATACAGCTACATATGACTTAAAAGGGCTGGAGATGGAATATAGAAAATAATATGGTGATTTTACAATAAAAAAGGTAATCTGGGTAATGGTTGTACCATAGATGTAAGTAAGGAAAACCTTAACAAGAAAACCCAAGTTATAAATATATGTATGGAAAAGTCTAGTGTTTTGGTGGGAACAAACCAAATGAGTTGATAAGAGGACAGGTCAAATGTTCTCTGCATATGTTTTCCACATTATACAAATCGTCTGATTTCAGGTGATGTATGGTTTGGACTCGCCCAGATATGGACTTAAGTTGGGGTTCCTCAAAATGGTTCACATTGACTCCAAAGGGTTCGTGAGACTATCCAAAGTCAATATTAATAATATGATTATTCTTAGTAGTATTAGTTAAAGTAGCATGGGGGTTGATGAACAATTCGAAACTTTATGAAGGGGACAATGAGCTGAAGAGTTTGGGAACGCCTGTCCAAAGTGAAGTTGCTTTCTTTGGACTGAAATTTGATTGTTCCGGGGAGAAGTGGTGATAAGGGTTAACAGTAGGAAAAAAGATGCTGGCAGTCAGGGGACAAAAGGGAAGGCGCAGAGCAGATTGTGGGCAAGCAGGCTGGTAACATATGATTTGCTGGGAATCTGTTCCTTTCTGGTGAGACTGTGGCATGGAACAGATGCACAGGCCAGTACTGAACAAGGGAAAAGATTGGGCTGAGGATGTAATAAAGGCAGTGACATGTTTTGGGCTGGGAGAGGCAGAAAGGGAAGGCATTAGAAAGATCACACTGAGCCAGTGGGAAATGCATGAGAGGCAAAGAACATCAATCTTTACTTCACATACAACTTCACACATCACTGTGTTTCACATAAATCCCTCTGGATTTTCTCTCTCTGTGAGGGAGATGGATGGTTTCTAAATACATAAAATTAAATAAATTTTGCACCATCTGAAATCCAAGGCAAAGTAGAGTTTCTGCCAAATTGCAGGTAATTCAAGTATCTGGGCTTAGTTCTGGAATGTAATGATTTATTATAGATTCTAAGCAACTATTTTCTCTGATAAAGGAGAATATTTGTAGTTTGGGCTTGAAATAAAAGATCCTTGGTGCTCTCCGAGCTTGTTTTCTTGCAGAAATTTCATTATCTCAACTAGATAACACCACAAGAAGTAACTTGACCAAGGACCCCTCAACTATTTTCTCTTTTGTGTAGAACTAGCAACAGCAAATTGCAACAAGGCAGAAAATAAAACATGAAGCCAGTTTAGCCGGTTTCTCTGCCTTTAACAGGGGTTTAAGTTGTAGAAAAAATACAGCCTCACAGGGTGTGAAACTAAACTGGCCGTTTTTAAACAGCGAATTTTCTATTCGAAAGGGATAAACTATCAAGTTTAATGGGAAAGTGGGCAACTTTTAAAGTTCAAGATTACTTCTTTAATATGGGAATTCTACATCTAACCCCAACTCCATTCATTTCAGTAGTTCTTAGTCACTGCTCTGCATTCTTAAACGTGTGTACTTGTTTATTCTGACTGCACACGTGAACATGGGTTACTTCCAAGTGATCTGCTCCCATTTTATCTTACACTCCGAGTCTATCAAAGATAGGTAAGAAACAAACTTTCTGTGCTGTCTGTATTAGCTTCCAATGTATTCTTTCCTGGGAGTAAGTTTCATTCAGCACAATCGGGCTTACTTACTTTACTGTGAGGCCTGTCATCTCTGGCCTGGAGAATTCTCTAATGCAGGGGTCTTCAAATTTGGCCCTTTTATGAGTTGTGGACTTCAACTCTCAGAATTCCTCAGCCAGCATGCCTGGCTGAGGAATTCTGGGAGTTGAAGTCCACAAGTCATAAAAGGGCCAAGTTTGAAGACCCCTGCTCTAATGATTCGCTCAGCTCCCCATAAACTACGGGCTCTTCTCGCGCAGTTTTGGAAAGGGTTAAAGAAAACGTCAGGGCCGAGCCCCTAACCCTCCCCCGGCCTCCACGGAGATCGGCAGTGCAGCCTTTGCCAGCTGGGCGCGGTTTCTTTCCAGCAGCATCGCTCAAAGGGGGTTGGGCATCCGCCGCCGCCGCCTTCTTGTGCTCCTCAAGGCCGCCACAGCCGCTCGCCCAGCTCCTTCCTCCTCGCCCTGCGCGCCGCATAAGCCCGAAGATGGCGGCTCACCATCTCCTCAGCCGGTTGCACCGCTGCCTCTTGCCCGCCGCTTCCCGATGGGGGTCCGGCCATAGGACGGCGCCGCTCGCTCTCGGGGCGCAAGCGAAGGTAAAGCGGCCACGTCGGGAGGTTTGGGTCCCCGCGGGTGTGTGTGTGTGTGTGTGTGTGTGTGTGTGTGTGTGTGTGTGTGTGTGAGCTTTCGGGCTTGCAGCGGCGTTTTCTTTTTGGCCGAACCTGTTCCGATACTGGTAGATTCGGGCATCCTTCGCCAAGTTCATGGCAAGTGGGGCTTGGGTGGCTTCATCCTGGGTTGGGCCGAGGGCGCGCGCAGGAGCGCAGCCATCCGTTTGGGGATCCTTTTTCTCGAACCGGTCTCTTTTAAGAGCGGCTCGAGCCACGGCAGTTGGCGCGAGGTCAAGTTCAGCTGCGAGCCAGGAAGAACCTGAGCCAGGTCCGGTGGGGGGGGGTCAAGCCGCTTTCGCCGGCAGAAAAGCAGGTCAGACGCCCTTCTCGCGTTTCTTGGCGCCCTTCTTCGCTGGGGCGCGGACTCGCTTGACAACCGGTTGGGCCTGTTCCGTTGGCTCTCACCAGGATCAGGTCTACCCCCAAAAGCTGTTTCCGTTCCCCACTGCGGGGGAATATATTTCACCCCCGCCAGGGCAGGAAAGGTGACCTCCGATCTGCTGCAGAATGAACGGCGCGCCGGCATCCTTTCTTCTGCCTGCTGGCAGCGCGTCCTTGGACGTAGTTGCTGAAAAAGCGAACCGCGCGCCGACCTGACCTTGAGGAAAAGAAAAGGCGCTTTTCAGCTCTGCTTCCGCAACGAGGTGCTTCATTTATTTAAGGCCAGGGGTAGGCAACCTCGGCTCTTTTATGACTCATGGACTTCAACTCCCAGAATTCCTGAGTCAGCTATGCTGACTCAGGAATTCTGGGAGTTGAAGTCCATGAGTCATAAAAGAGCCGAGGTTGCCTACCCCTGTTTTAGACGGAAGAAGAGAAGACCGGTGGTGGTCCCGTTCGACAAGCGGCTTTTTAATGGATCTCTCAACTCGATTCTGCGCATGGAAATTCTTACTCGGAAATAAAGCTTGCTCCTCTTAAACAGCGTTTCCCTCTGTGAGGCCTTATCTGTCTGGAAAATGAAAATGCATCTTTCCTCGCAGGAATATTTATTTGAGGATTTTTTTTTTATTGAAAATTTTTAAAAGTTTTACAATATAACTCCCCTCCTCCCCAAAATCCACCC